AAACTCCAAGTCACAAATTTTCAGTGAATATGATAAATTTTTTAAAATAGCGACCGCCATATTGGAACTGCCAAATTGATACACCCGAGTATCGAGTTTCAAGTGAATCCGATGAATTTTGAAAATTTTGAAAATGTCATCCGCCATATTGGATCTGCCATTTTGAATTTTTGAAATCTGAGTTTAGATTCGTAATCAGCGACCCCGAAAACCCCTGATTATCGAGTTTCAAGTGAATTCGATGAATTTTTAAAAATGTCGTCCGCCATTTTGGATCCGCCATTTTGAATTTTCTAAATCTGTGTTCGGATTCGTAATCAGCGACCCCGAAAACCCCCGAGTAACGAGTTTCAAGTGAATTCGATGAATTTTTGAAAATGTCGCCCGCCATATTGGATCCGACATTTTGAATTTTCAAAATCTGAATTCGGATTCGTAATCAGCGACCTCTAATACTATAGTTCACTGATTTGCGCAAATTTCAGTTTTCTAAAAAGTTGTCGACATTTTGAGCCCACTTATGAGATTTTGGTCTCGACTGCGAAGGGGTTAAATTAGTCTAGTATGATCACCCGACAAATAATAATGCATAATATAATTCATTTAAAGAGTTGAAAAACAATGTTAATTAACAAATAGATAATTTTGGTCCTTCTTAAAGAAAATTGTTTCTTTTTGCAGACAAATTTATGTTTATTTATGTAATTTATGTCTATTTTGTTAAAAAATAATTTTAAAGTTAATAATTATCATTGTTATTAACAATTATATTTCAAATTTATTTCAAAATTATGTTTTTGGACCAGAACTATTGTAGGTTTTCTTAATGACAAAAAAGTCGGAAAGTCCATGGATATTTCATACAAATGGCATTTGGTGGCCCTGAAAAGGGCCGATTGATATTTTTTGTTTATGCTTTGAGCATCAAGAGATATCCGTAAATAAGTTAACACGAGATCAGCTGTAATGAGCTATAGTGAAACGTTCCGTGCGCGTGACACTATACGGCACAGGCGCAAAAATACTGCAATGTTTCAGACAAATTGCTATATCTCGAAAACTATTGAAGTCTCCATACTGTTCTTTACTTGAATGAAAAATGAAATTGTATAGAAAATTTTATTAATTTACCAGAAAATTAACAAATTGGTCCGCTCGCGCAAAAAAAATTCAAAAAAATTTTCTTTGACTTTTTCTGGTCAAAAGAAATTTTTTTTATGTGACAGTCAGAAGAAACATGATTTCCAGAATAAGCTATACAAATTTTATTAAATTTCATTGAAAACTTTCGGAAATATTAAGACTTCAAAAATAATAACCAGAAAATTCAGTATGGCATAAATTGTTAAGTTTGAGTAACAAAAAAAATATAAACAATAAAAAAATCAATCAGCGGTTTCAAGGAAACTCTTAGAAATTTTATCCCCTTTAATTTAAGACCAACAACATCATAATCCGATAAAATTTGTAGGCTCTAGACAATTTTGAATATTAAAGTGTAAAATCCCAAAGTGAGAGGCGTCCGCGTCCCGGACACTGAAAAGTGGTCGCGCTCTCACTAAAATTGTAATATCTCGAAAACTATTCAAGTCTCCATCGATTTTCTTTTTTTAAATGAAAGGTGAAATTATAAGGAATATTTTAATAATGTATCAGAAAACTCAAAATCGGTCCCCTTCTCGCAAAAACGATTCAAAAAATTTTTTTTGACTTTTTTTTTGGCAAAAAAATTTTTTTTTTATGTGATAGTCCGAAGAAACGTGATTTCAAGAATAAGCTATTCAAATTTTATTAAATTTCATCGAAAACTTTCGGAAATATTCAAATTTAAAAAAATAATAACCAAAAAATTCAAAATGGCGTAACTTTAACAATTTTGAAAATTTTCAAAAAATCTTTGGTACACTAATTTCTATTGTCCAATACTACAATTTCACCAAATTACAGCTCTATCAGAAGACCCCATGCAAATTGTATTTTTTCTGACGGAGTCTTACCCTCATAATAAATAAAAATTGGAAAAGTGCGATCGCATAAATAAGAATAATGTGTGCTTTTAATAAGTAAATAATATAAGAAATGGTAAACGGAACAATTTCCCAAAATATATTAGCAGTACATGAATTATTAAGTCTTTTCAATTAAATCATTCCTTTCATTGAAACATGTATACGCAAAAAAAATATTGCGAGGTTTTTTTAAAGAAGAAATTCTATTTTATCGATCTTCACTTATTGACAAGGTTGGGAAACTACCATGAAAAATTAGGTTACAGTATATCAAAATTATATGAAATGAAAATTATTGGATAAGGTATTTATAATTAGTCAATATTCTGCGAAACATAAATTCCGTGACATACAAATTAATATGTTAAAAGTTTGTAAAATAAGCATTATATTAATTAATAATTATATGCAATAAAAATTATAAGAAATAAAAATTATATTTTATAAAATTATACAGAATAATAATTCGAGGATTTAAATTTATGTTATTTAAAACATATATAAAACAATAATTATTTCGAATAATAATTAGATTTCTTAAAAATTATAACAACTAAATATTATATTTTTAACAATTATATTACTTTCCATTTCACAACTTAAAAATTATGTTAATTTATAATTAGATTCCATAGAAATTATAGAAAATAATTATTATACTTAAAAAATTTATTATACATGCAATTTCATAGTGTGTAATTTATAGTCATTTATATTTATCATGCCTATTAAATCTATAAAATAAGAATTCGACTAAAGTAAATTATAATAAATATCAATTCTTAATATTAGAATAATATTAATATCAAATTATAGACACCTACCTTTTAAGTAAATGATAATTATGAAGAACAAAATTTGGAAATATGACAATTATAAGTATAATAATTTGGCTGAAATCATGCGCCCCATGTATTTTAAGATGCTTGTTTTTGCAGTGCGACCCTCCCCAGGCGCGAAAGACCAATGCTGACAAGATTGATTGATTTTTTTATCTCAGAAATTAGACACTTTTTATATGTGATTAAATTTAAAATGTCATTTTTGATGCTACTAACTTTGATTTTTCGATGTTGGATTTTGAACTTAACGATATTCTATTTTGGTTGACTAAAATATATATTGGACAAAAGTAATAGTGGTCGAGCAGGTGGAAGCAAATTTTAATTTTCATCAGGTGAAAAACGATAGGCAGAAATTATAAGAAATTTTCTGTTTTCGTTTATTCTTTTCTAAAATTAATTCTTACAACTTTAAAAAGTTGAAATATTTCAAATTACAATAATGAATGTTTCAACATGACTTGAAAAAGATTTGTAATGAGTTTTGCTATAAATTATATACTTTTGAAGACCAAAAAAACATATGAAAATTGAGGGACGCCACTGACATTTTTGAAAGATTTCACTAATAATTTTTTTTTTAATGATGAGAATAAAATCAGCTTATAAATTACAAACCAATATCAGATTTTCACTAACTGCATATAAGAAGTAAATTTAACACAAATTTATTAAAAAGAAAATAATAAGTTGCAAGAAACCGAATTTTGAGGGGACACCACTGACATTTTGCTTCATTTCTCAATTTCGAAAAAGAAAGACTTTATTTTTAAGCTAAAATCGTCGCGGTATTCAAAGTACGTGTAATAACTGAAAATGAGGCAATAATATTTAAAAAATATTAATAATCTAAAAAATTTTTTATGGGGACACCAGTGACATGGTGTGCTTGACAAAGCGATATGTATGCGCAAAACTAAACTGGCCAAAAGTGGTTCATGACGCATACAGGCGCAACTTAAAAAAGGCGATTAAAAACTTCTTAAATGTTCCTGAAACCGGTTACTTGGGGGTTTTCGACGTCGCTGATTACGAATATGACATTCGTTTTCCAAAATTCAAAATGGCGGATCCAATATGGCGGACAACAAAATAAAAAATTGATCAGATTGACTTGAAACGTAGTACAGTCGACTCTCGGATCTTTTGCACTTATGGGACCAAATCCTCTCATATCTTTTACCAAAACAAATGCCATGGTAACGCAAAACAAAACAATATGTATAACCAAATATATAAATTAATGACAGTATTTATGTTTTAGTTTTAATATTTATACATTTATAGTAATTGAAATTTTAATGTAATTTTAATCACATAATGGAGGAGCTGCTATAATTCACTTTAGTTAACCTAAGTTACCGTGAAATAAATATTTTGACATTCTGATAGTCATTTATTTATTTAATGTAAAAGGTAAAAGGTGCGGGAGAAAAATTGCATAAGACTCGAGAGTGTAAAAGATCTGATGCAAAAGATCCGAGAGTCGAGTGTACTCGGGGGTTTCTGGGGTCGCTGATTACGAATCTGACATCAGTTTTTCGAAATTCAAAATAGCGGATCCAAGATGGCGGAAATTTTTTCAAAATTTGTCGACACTTTTGGCCCAAACAGTGGAAATCTCGTTGACAGCCAAGAGGTTAATCACCCATATATATAAGGTGCAAAGCAGAAACCGTATCCAACTAAGAATATATAATGACTAATCATACACTGAAAAATTTAAAGCGCCCTGCTACTTTCAATGCGAGACAGCAGCGCGCTCTACCATAAAGGTTAGCAGTTAACCACAAAAAGCGAGCATCTCTCTTTTTCGTAGTGTTCTAAGTCGGTTATATTACCCAGAGAATATTACCGAGAACGAGAATATTACCGAGAATTTAATTACTCTGAGAATTTAAGAGAATGTGACATAACCTCACTTTTGTCATTGCTGTGTGGTAAATTCGATTGTCCGACGTTGTGTTTTTATTTAGTAGTTGTTATTTTGTTTATTTAAGTGACTTTATATTTAAAGATTTAAAAAATGAAAAAACCAAAGAGTGTAAAATGGAAATATTTTAAAAGCAATGAATACAAAAACAATTAAATTATTCTGTAAATTTTGTAAATAATAATATGCCACAAATGCTATATATTAAATTTTGTAGGATAATGAAAAGGCCTAGATACGGTTATTTTATATGATGTTTATTTTATAATCCCGACTAGTTTCGAACCATATGGTTCCTCATCAGGGGATGAACAATTTTACAGAAAATTATCCAAATATTGGACACATCATAAAAAGATTTCAAAAAGGATTAAAATATCTGAAAAAAATAATTAAAATTGTTTTAATTTTAATTTAAAAAGATTTTATGAGGTTATGTTTTAATTTGTGAAAAAAAATGAAAAAGTTTCTTACCCTTTAGAAGAACATTACAAGTATAGAAAAGGAAAAAAAAATTTTTTTATTGTAAAAAAAAAATTTTTTTAAAAAAAAAACATTTTATATTAAACAATTTAATTAATTTTATAAATTTTGTAGAAACACATTTTTTGCAAAAAATGTGCTTCTATGAACAGAGAGTTATGACAGAGAGGTTGGGTTGTGTATTAGGGTCCAGGTATGATAGGTAAAGTAGATTTCTATGTTATTAAACTTTTTAAATTATGTTTTAAAATAAGTAATTAAATTATAGTATATTTTATCTAGATTGTCAATATCTGTTCTATAATTAATACTATTAGTATTATTTTTTATATAGAACATTTCCAAATTTTTTCTTTTCCAGTTATTTATTTCAATTTGTAAAATATTTGTATTGTCAAAATCAAAAGAATGTTTATTATCAAAAGTATGATTAGTTAAAGCATTAATATTTTGGTTGTGAGTGACATATCGTTTATGTTCTTTTATTCTAGTTTTAAGATGTCTTAAGGTTTCTCCGATATAACAACTATCACAATCTTTGCATTGAATTTTATATACACATCCAACTCTCTGAAATTTCTCTGTTGGATCTTTAAATTTTGGAAAAATACAGTTTTTTAAATTATTAGAGTTAGTGAAAACTAATTTAAATTTATGTTGTTTAAATATATTAAAAAATATTTCATCAAAATTTTGAATATAAGGTATACTTATAATTTTTTCAATTGGAAAATTGTTGTTATTTATTTTTCTATGTAAGTTATTGGTAAGAGCATTATACCTCTGTGAAATCTTTCTATTTAACAGATCTATTGGGTATCCATTAAGTAGCAATGTTTTTTTAACAATGTTAAGATTTTCAAGATGAAATTGTTGATCTGACAATTTAATAGCCCTATCAACTAGAGTGTATATAATACCTATTTTATAACTTAGAGGGTGGTGTGAATAGAAATTCATATATCTGCCCGTCCATATAGATTTACGAAACCAATTTGTTTCAATAAAATTATTACTGTCAATTGAAAGGGAAAGATCTAGAAAGTTAATTTTATTATTGTTAGATAACTCTAAAGTAAATTTTAAATGTTTATCGATAGAATTGAATCTACATAATATATCGTCCACCTTATTTGAAGGTGCACAAATTAATATATCATCAATATATCGAAAATAAAAAATAATTTTATATTTGATTTTGTTTAAAATTTTATCCTCAATACCCTCCATGACAATATTAGCCGCACTTGAGGATATTGGAGAACCCATTGGTAAACCAAATATTTGTTTATAAAATTCTCCTTGGAATTGACAGTATGCCGAATTTAAACATAAATTTAAAGCTTCAAGAAAATCATCCTGCGAGAAGTTTGTGTGTTTTTCAATTTCTGACCATTTGCTTTTAATAGTGTTGTTGATTAGTGTCCAAGATATGTTTGTATACATGGAAACAACATCAAGTGAAAAGATTGTAAAATTTGGAGGAATAAAAATATTATTAAGTTTATTTTTAAAATCCCAGCTGTCTTTAATATAGTGATTATTTTCGGTATTTAGGGATTTTTTTAAAATGTTAGCTATAAGTTTTGATAGATTATATATTGGATTACCTATGAAAGATGTAATTGGTCTCATAGGGATGTTATTTTTATGTAATTTTGGTAATCCATAAAATCTTGGAGCAACACCATTTGTGCAATTGAGAAATTTATATGTGTTTTTTTCAAAGTATTTTTTATTTAAAAAAGATTTTAAAAGATTTCGTAAACAATTTTGAATGGAGATTGTAGGATCAGAATTCAATTTTTTATAAGTAGTCGTATCAGTTAAAAGATTAAGTGTTTTCGAAATATAATCATTTTTTGTTATAATAACAGTTTTGTTACATTTATCGGCAGTGGTTACAACAATATTTTTATTAGAGTTTAAAAATTTTTTTGTTTCGTTAATTTTATTAATTAGATTTACTTGAGTACAATTAAAAGTAGTTTTATTAAGTATTAAATTTTGCAACCAGTAAGATATATTCCCTCTGATAGTATTTTTAGTATCAGAGGGAATATTCCTTATGCCATATTCTACATTTGAAATTATAGTGGGGATTGGTATTTGCTTTGAAGAATATGGAAAACCAAAATTACCTCCTAGAGCTAAAATGTCAGAGACATTTTTAGGAATGTTTAATGGAGTTAAATTTTCAATCCAATTTTGATTAGTTTTTATTTTAATAATTTGTTGACTTTTTAATTTTTCGATTTTAAGTTTTGAAGAATTCTTTAGTTTAATTTGATATTTATTAAGATTTAAGTAAACTTGTTTTTTTAAAAATGTAAAAAAATCATTATTAGTTAATTGTAAAATTTTAATGTTAAAAAAATGTAAATTTTTATATAAATATTTAATCTCACTTGATATGTCAGAAAGTTCTAATTTTAAAATTTTCCTTCCGAAAAATTGAGTATTAGTTTCTAAACCATCGCAGCATGATTTTGAGAAAAAACGAAAATTCAAAAACGTGTTATTAACAATATGATCTGGCAAGATACATAAATTTTTACATACATAGAGAAATTTCCTTTGGTTCTTCCTTCGAGCGATCCTATAATTAAGTTTAATCCAATTTTTAATTTCATTCAGAGTGTGTTGTCCAAATTGATGGAGAATTCGTTCGTAAAATTCTTTATTCATGTTGATTGATGTAGAGTCTTATTGGTTTTAAGGCCAGTGTATAATAGTAGTTTTTGGATAATGAAAAGGCCTAGATACGGTTATTTTATATGATGTTTATTTTATAATCCCGACTAGTTTCGAACCATATGGTTCCTCATCAGGGGATGAACAATTTTACAGAAAATTATCCAAATATTGGACACATCATAAAAAGATTTCAAAAAGGATTAAAATATCTGAAAAAAATAATTAAAATTGTTTTAATTTTAATTTAAAAAGATTTTATGAGGTTATGTTTTAATTTGTGAAAAAAAATGAAAAAGTTTCTTACCCTTTAGAAGAACATTACAAGTATAGAAAAGGAAAAAAAATTTTTTTATTGTAAAAAAAAAATTTTTTTAAAAAAAAAACATTTTATATTAAACAATTTAATTAATTTTATAAATTTTGTAGAAACACATTTTTTGCAAAAAATGTGCTTCTATGAACAGAGAGTTATGACAGAGAGGTTGGGTTGTGTATTAGGGTCCAGGTATGATAGGTAAAGTAGATTTCTATGTTATTAAACTTTTTAAATTATGTTTTAAAATAAGTAATTAAATTATAGTATATTTTATCTAGATTGTCAATATAATATATAATACGGTCAAACAAACAAAAACTACTGCTATATATTAAAGGTACTTGCACAGCTCTACTGACTGCAGGTTGTCATGGTAACACATAAGAGTAAGAGAGTCAGAAAATTCAAATTAAATGGTTTTCTCTCTTACTCTCGTAGGAGAGCTGACAGAGAGCCTTTATTCACAAATAATTTCAAAATATTTATTTTAAAAAATTTTAAATTCATTGTATATAATGTTAAATATATTACTTATTCTTTATTTATATATGTCTATATTCAAAAGTATCTAAACTTTTATTCGTACTAAGTTACGCATATTTTATAAACCTTATAAATGTAAATGACATTAAATTTATAACTTAAAAAATATGTGGTTTTACTTTTTTTTATTTACATAAATAACTTAAAAAATTCTTTTAGATAAAAGTAATCATCGCAATTTTGCTGAAATATATGTATTTATATTAATAAAAATAATAAATATATACATTATTTAAATAAATAAACTTAAATTCTCAATATTCTCTTAAATTCTCTTATAGTCTCTTAAAAAAATTAAATTACCGTCATTTCCTTACACGGAAAAAATTAATTTAGTACATTTTACGAAACTAATTTTGGAATAGCGGATACGGAGAGGAGTTTAGTATAAGATAAAACAGAATCAATAGTAATATATGATGACTGCGTTTCTCGAAAACTCGAAAAAAATTCTATGGAATTCACAAATGATCGGTTGGACGTTCTAATTCAAGAGTTTTGTAAAATGTTTAGCCTGAAGCGCATGCGCCACGGAAAAAAATATTCACGGAGAAAAAAACGAATAAAGCAGAAAAAAGAATTTCTTAATGTACCAATGAGCTCTCAAGGCCATTTTTTCTCGTCTTCTATAGGAGATAGATGATTGGTTCGACACATGTGACTGCACTCTACAACGCAATGGTTCGCTTGGATTGGCTTATTTTATTCTGACACTAACTTAACGGAAATACGCATACATATAAACGAATTCTGACGCATCGCACATACAATATAACTCGCACTTGTAGATGAAAGAATTGAGTTTCTTTATATACCAGGGTCGGTCAGCTTTGTAGTTAAAAATGGATGCTTAAAATTAGTTGCGACCCTGGTGGTAGGTGGCTCTGTTGTCAATTTCAAATAGCATGGTTACCATAGTAACCAAGACTACGTCATTATTTCACAATGTTTGAATTTTTGAAATTGACATTTGTTGACATTTGTCAACATTTGTTTAGGTTGAATACTTTTAAACATTATTTTCGGTTATTTGTATTTTTTATATTGTGCATTATCGTATGTTTCCTAATGGAACAACAAAATAAAATACATGGCGGTATATGCGTTGTTCCCGGTTGTTCCTACACACGAAAAACAGAAGGTAAAAAAAACCAAGTGCATGAAATCCCGAAAAGATTGTTCATGAGAAGCAAATGGTTGGAAAAAATAGGATGTGAGGATTTGAATAGGTTGGATAATGCGGAAATTACAAGAAAAGAATTGTTTGTCTGTCCCCGACATTTTTTGGAGTCAGATTTTTTAAAAAAGACTCAAGCAGGCAGTGTTCGATTAAAGACGATGCAATTCCTTCAGTTGAGATTAACGTTCATACAGTTCAGGAAAGGAATAGTGTTATTGATATTCTAGAGAGTGTGAATTCAACAAACCCTGCGAATAGTGTTGGAGAGTGTTTGATTTCACCCCTTATTCATGGAAATCTTTCAATGGAAATTGAAAATTCAACTGCTACAGAAATCAGAATTAGCTCGCTGAATGTTGATACTGTAAGTTTTAAGATTAGATGTTCTTATTATAATTTTAAATTATTATTTTTTAATTAGCTTACTCTAATAAAAAATTTTTATATGAAAAAATACTATTCTTTTCAATTTGAGTTTAAAAAAATTTTCTTTTTCAAATATCAAATACACTTTTAAAACAATCTTTTTCGCTATAGGCAAGTGTTTCTGGAATTCGTGTCCTGGAAGGCGACCATGTTAAAAAAAATGGAAATAATCTTGAGCAAGAGAGACTTTTTGGTAACGCAAATTTGGATACAACTATGCCTGACGCTGTGGAGCAAAATCAAAACGCAGAAAATATTCAACAACCAATGGCTAGAGATTGCATGGAAGGTGTTGAAGAAATTATTGGAGCAGTAGATACTGCCCAAAAGAAATCCGCTTTAAGTAAATCGAAGGAATTAGATAACAAAAATTGCAAAAATAGGCCAAATAAAAAAACTGTATGGAGAGCTGCTAAAATGAATACCCCTGTAGAAATGAAACTGTACGAAGAATTGCAAGAAAAGAAAAGAAAACTGTATAATGTACATAAACAATTGAAAAGGTACTTCATATATGGAGAATATAAAATTAAATCTATCAATAAGAATAAGTCTTCATTACCTTCTTTGCTTCCTCTTTACGATCATAAAAAAATATTTGACGTTTAATGATTTTTTCGAATTTTTTGTACTTCATAAAATTAATACTGATTTATACACGATTATTCAAATTAATTTTTTGTTCTATATCTGTAAGAACTAAATAATTTTAGTTTTTTAAAAAATTTTATTGAAATTAATTTTTTGTTCTACATTTGTGAAGACTAAGTAATTTTTTAAAAATAATTTTTAAAAACTATTTAAATATTGACACTTTTACTTGCATTATAAGATGCCAAAAGAAATTGAAAAATCCAGAAGAATGTTTGGAAAGTAGACAGTTTAAACGTGTATGTAAGAAGTTAAATGAAGCACAAAGAAGCTTTATATTTGCTGTAATAAGAAATGTTTCAAGGCAACCTTCAGGACGTAGATATACCAAAGAAGAACAAATTCTCTTTCTTTCCATATATAAGAAGTCACCTAAAGCTTATAGATACCTACGAAGTTTTCTTCCAATACCCGGAATAACGACACTAAAAAAGCTTTTAAAAACAGTTTCTATGGACGCTGGAGTGACAGAGGAGACTAGAAACAGATTAAATGCGGCTGGCAAAGATGCAAAAACAGACAAAGAAAAGGCAGTAATGATTTTATGGGATGAACTGTTACTTGGATTAGGCCTGAGTTATGATGAAAAAACTGACAAGGTATCTGGATTTGAAGATTTTGGTCATGTTCGTACTGAAAAGTTTGCAGACCACGGGCTAGTTTTCATGATGAGATATATCGACAGCGGCGATGTCATTCCTATTTCGTTTTACTTCTGCGATGCGCAAACTACAACGGGGCAGCTTCTTTATTGTATAAAAGAGGTTATAGGAGCTGTAAAAGATGCAGGATTTAACGTTGTTTGTACAGTATGCGATGGGGGTACCAGTAATCAATCGGCAATAAAACACCTGTTGCAGGAGACAGAAAAATTAAAAGGAAAAGATTACGTATGGCAAAGTGAGTTATTTTTAATTTTTCCAAAATTAAAATTTATGAATATTCGTATAAAATTAACCAATAGAAAGCAGCAAAAGGGAGTTAAAATTTAAATACCAACATAATGCTATAAAAGTAATACGCTTTTGGAGTTAAAAGATAAAGAGTAAAATATTTAGAGTTAAAATTTAACTCCACTGAAAGTTAATTTGAATAGTAGAATACGATAGCGTGGTCATATCAAAATAATATAACTCTCAAGAAAGTAAATTCACTCCTTTTTGGAGTAAAATTTTAACTCCAATACATGCATAAACAAATAGAAGAAATAAATATTATAACACAATAAGAGTAAAATTAAGTAATTAGATATAAAACATGCAAATAAAAAAATGAAAAATTTTGGGAAAATTCAAATATTATAAAGAATTTAAATGTCAATTATTCAGTGAAAGTTCATTTTTAGAGGGATGTTTCATTCTTTTTGGTATGGAAATAATCCCATTGTTTGATCCACCTCATCTTATAAAATGCCTACGAAACAATTTGTTGGATAAAGACCTCGAATTCGATTGTGACACTGCGAAGCGAGCTAGAAAAAAAAATGCATCGGATAGAAAGTTTGCCTCTTGGAAACATATTACTACTGTCTATGAAATCGATGTTCATGGAAGTCAGAACCGAAGATTTTTAAAAAAATTAACCGATAGACATATCTACCCCAATAAAATAAAGAAGATGCGAGTTAAAAATGCTATCCAAGTTTTTCGTAACTCCGTAGCAAGTAGATTAGAAGCCTTATCTGGAGCACCAGGTATGAAAATAATCAATTAAATTTTTACTAAAACATATACTGATTATATGTTAAAAATACTCATTTTAATATAAAAATTTTTCTTTTTTAGAACGAAACACATCCATAGGGCCAAAATCAATTCCACCAGAAGGGGTAAATACAGCATGGATTCGCAGCTTCTTCAACGACCTTGCAGATGCTTTTAATGGTAAAGTTGCAAAAGACGATTCAAGTGAAATGAGGACACTATTAACAGACGAAAGCTTTCACATAAAATTTTTTAAAGAGGCAGCTAGTCATATTGGAAGGATGCGGTTTGTTAATTGTCGTACAAAGGAGCCTGTTTCTCATCAACGACCGACACTTAAAAATCTAAAATCTACTCTTGAACGTATTCCTTTATTGTGGAATAAGCTTAAAGAATTAGGCTTCACATCCTTAAAAACGGTGCATTTAAATCAGGACCCTCTGGAAAACTTCTTTTCCAGAATTAGGCAGTGTGGTGATACAAACAGAAAACCAACTTGTTCTCAGTTTGTTGGTAATTTTAAAACGCTTGTTATTAACAATTTAAGTAAATTTCATTCAGAAGGCGCGAATTGTATTGATGATGGTAGTAGTTTTGCTCTTTCGTGGCAAAATTATTTTGATTCTGGAGACTCTCATATTCAAAATTGCACTAGACCATCTTATACAATGCCAACTCAAACTCTAAAATTCAATTATTGTCAATCTGATCCTATTCCTGAAAAAGGCGCGATAACAACATCCACAGATTTCATTGTCAAAAATATGGTAACAAAATTGC